CTGTAAATACACTTGCAGGTTTTGTGAAGTAACTCGGGTTGATATTTTGTTCAGTGCGTCCATTGAACTAAAAGATAAAAAGGCATACGATGGCAATGCATTTTACTGCTGATTCCTAAAGATGTTTGTCTTTGACTTAAGTTTGTGCTCCCACCTGAGGCAGCAGTGATCTGGCTTTTTTCAGGAGCAAAACCACAAATATTGTACCTTCCACTAAGCACTAGCTCCATATTCCCACTAAGGAAAAGCAGAATTGGCAGAGTAAATTTGAAGTTATCTGAATTTAACAATAAACCTTAAAAACTCATTAGGATGCAAACCAGAAATGAGAAAAACAGTTTCTAGAATAGGATTGGGCAAACTACTGCCCCAAATGCAGCCTGCACCTGTTTTTGTATGGACCCCAGTTGAGAATGGCTTTTAGATTTTTTAAGAAAAGTTTCATTTTGGGGGCAGCTAGGTGGCGCAGTGGATAGAGCTCTGGCCTTGAAGTCAGGAGGACATGAGTTCAAATCCAGTTTCAGACACATGACACTTACTAGCTGTGTGACCCTGGGCAAGTCACTTAACCCCAGTTGCCTCACCAAAAAAAAAAAAAAAAAGGAAAAGTTTCATTTTATTTTAAAAATGTAAAAACCATCCATAGCTTGGCAGGCTCATAGGCAGCAAGCCAGACTTTGCTGACCCCTTTTCTACAATAAACAACAAAGACAAGAAGTCAGATGTTCAATTTTCTAATCAAAGTAATTGTAGATTATCTACCCCTAGTAGAGGGGGAAAGAAAAGAATAGGAAGTACTATGGCACAGAAGACCTATAGTGATTTATATTTTTCTTACGGTATGTTCTCTTGTTATTTGGCCTCCCTAATTATATTTAGTCATGATGATATTAAAATTCCACTATCAAGCTCCACTCTGATGCCTCATCCTGGCATGGAGGATTCAGCCCTATATTCTTAATGATTATGCCAACAGACCCCCAGTTCTAACAGTTTCTGCCATGCTAGAAAGACTTTGAAGATAGACCTGGAAATAGAAATGTGGGCTGGTCTTAAGGAGAGAACAGCTCATGGTCAGGGGATTGGCCCCTGCATGATGATTTTGGGGGTGGGAAGCCATAAGCAGCTCATGAAAACTAGCTCATCTTCTAAAGCATAGAGGCCTTGCAACAAAACCATGGATCCTTTAAGTATTAATAAGCAATATAAAAATTAGTTTGGGTTCCTTGGGCACATACTAGAGAAGCTGTCAGTGCTTAAGGGTGGGAATATGCTGAATGACTGAGAAATCTGGGCCTAGAAAGAAAGAAAAAAGTTATAGATAATTTTTAAATTAACTCTTGAAAATAAATAGGAATTGATTTTTAATGATTTCGGCGATGCCAAAGATCACAGTTGGGAACATACTTATTCTGTGATCAACATCTGAAGCCAATTTGCCAAGGTTTATATTGACAGATAAACTCTTGGGCTTCCTAAAAAGTTATAAAATATACTTACTTGTAGAATCCATTTTTTCTTTTCTGCCCAGACTAGAAAAGATTGACCAAGTATTGGCTTTTTTTTCTTTTTCTTTTTTTCTTTTTTTTTTTGCTATGTCCTCTTACAGACAGGAATCACAGCTTATAGTTTAAACTGTTAAAGACAGGAAAAAAAAAGGACATCCCCACCTATATAATATGACAGTAAGAACATGTAGCTGACAACATTCCAGCTATCCTGAATTGTAAACAGTAGACATTCTAGAGTTCCTTAAAGAGACAAAAAAGCCTATAGCCTTACAGTTCAGGGCAGCGTAGGGTCTGTAGGCTGGCAATGGCCAGAGAATTTATCCTACATAACAGGAAATGGCAGCATAAAGAGCCCTACAAATCCTCCCCAGGCCCAAGCCTACACAAGTACATCCATATACACACACACACACACACACACTTGAGAGTCAGCTACGTGTTAGGTATTGTGCCAACTAGTTTGAGAGGTACAAAGTACCTGGTGCTATCCTAAAAAGAGGGTGCCCTGGGAATCACCAGACTAAAAGTCAAAAGACCGAGGCTGTGCTTCTGACTTTGCCACCAAGGAGATCTTTGACTCCAAACAAGGCATGTCATTTCTCTGGGTCTTGCTGTCCTCACATGGAGTTGGACAAGATCATCCTCAGGTCCCTTCCAGCTCTGAGATCACATATAGCAGACACCCCCACCACTCCTATAAATAAAATCTCCCTAGAATGGAGAACAGAAGTTGACCAATCTACCTTTCCTTTATGGGATAATCCCTTGAGAACTTCTGACACATTCAGCTCTGATTCTAGGCTAAGCAGCCACCTGGTTATTTGGGGATTTGATGCATGGAATGTAAGAATTAGGGCAGGCATATATGGGTTCCCTTAAGTGGACTTTTGGGTTTGAAATATGAAAGATCTGGCAAATTGATGAACTGGCAATCTGGTTTATATACCCATCTACTAGGAGTTTGATTAACAGGAATCAGGCTCCCCAGAGCCTGGTGGGGAGAGGTGGGATAATAATACCAACTTCTGAGTCTTCAGAGTTAGGAAGTTTTTCCTAAGGATCTTTTGGCTATGGCAAAGAAGTGGTAAAGAAAAAAAAAAATACCCCTTTTCCCCAAGAGATAATAGTTGTTACTTTCAGACTATTCGCCTGAGGCATCTTAATGAGTGGACCTTATGTGTTAAGTATGAACAGAAAGAGAACTGGGATGATCAGATGCCCCCAGGACACATCACTCACTTTCCTTCCACAAACTAGCATAGAACCAGAGGCCTTCCTCTAGTAAAAAAACAACACATAAAAGGAAGGTGGGTGGAGAGAAAGGGAGAGATACTGGCATGGGGCATGATGGAGACATCCAAAGGAGTGCAGTCCACGGGAAATGAAATGTAAAATCCCTTTCCAGGTAATAAGTATCAGAGACAGGCAGGCAGAAAGAAAAAAAAAAGCATTTGTTAAGTACCTACTATGTGTCAGGAACTGTGTTAAGCTCTTTACAAATATCTCATTAATCCTCACAGCAAGCCTCTGAGACAGGTACTATTATTATCCCCATTTTTCGGTTGAGGAAACTGAGGCAAACAGATTAAATGACTTGCCCAGGGCCACGAAGCTAATAAATGAGATGATAGTATTTGAACTCGGGTCTTCTCAACTCTAGGCCCAAGGCTCTATCCATTAAGCTACCTAGCTGCCTCTTAAACCCAAGTCCTTAGTCTCTAGAAGCTAGGGTTCTTTATGCTAGACCATGTCGTTTCCCAACGAGTTCAAGGCTTAGAATGGTGGATTTGGGAATCATAAGCATAGATGTGATAATTAAACGCAGTAAGAATAGTTTAACTCTAGCAAAAAGAGGAAAGGGCAGAGGCCCAAGGAGAGCTTAGCCTTAAAGGAACACTTAGAATAGAAGAAATGTATGTCACTACTGAAACTAACAAATAGGTGAGGTCTAAGTCAGCAAAAAATCTCCTCTGCCTGCCAGGGATGGGTGTTGTATTTGTAGATTCTATTGCTTCTATCTTGTTCAATTTCTGGCTTCCAGCAAAGTAAAGGAAAGTTTAAGAAGCTCAAGGATTCATCCACTGAGATGTTTTCTTTAGCCAGGCACCCTCAGAGGCAAGGTCTCCATAAGCAACTGTAGAGTATAGAATTCAGAGTTCCTCATACACTTCAGTAAGAAACCTACCTTGGGGAAGGAAGGGAGAAAGAAAGAAAGAAAAAGAGAGAGAAAATGAAGATTTGTGGTTTGTTTGTTTTTTCCTCCACTGAGGTAGTTTTTAGGATAAATCATTAGCAGGATTTGTGTTCAACTGCTTCCTCCCTACCCAAAGTCATAAAACTTTGTCAGTCTTCTACTTGTGGAAATATTAACCTAAGGTCCACTTACTAGGAAGCCTAATTAGGACTCAATCTGAAATGTTAAACATTTGGTATTGATTATCTGAGTCCACCTTGATGTCATGCCAACTGTCATGCCAATCGTCAGTCTTACAGCTAAAGAAAAACCGGAGTATCAAGAGATTAGAGCACAAGGTAGATCAATACCATAACCAACAGGGCCTCATCTATCAACAGCCATTGCCACTCATGAGCCACTATGGTCCTTTCTTTAGTTTCACTTGTCCCTCAAGAGAGTGGTAAATTACTCCTGTAAAAAGTCTAATTAATGTTGTCTTGTTGTGCCTATCTGAAGCTAAGCCCTACAGAAAAGAAACCTTAGATTCAGGATTCAAAAGCTTCAAGAGACACTAAACTGCAGCTTAATGTTTAGCCATACTAATGGATACTCTTCGTAAAATCTGAGGCCAATATTATTCTACAGAACAACTGATATATCTTAAGAATCAAAGGGTGGAACGTTCACCTCTATAGGTACAGTCTGCCACTTAGAAGTAGCCCTGGTCACAAGTTTAGAGCTCGCTTATGTGAGTTTTTAGCCAACCAGATGAACCAAAGCCATCCTTTGAAAGGAGCAAGTACAATATCCCACTTGCAGAAACTAGAATGGTACATGTACATTAAATGAAAAGGTAGCCTTGTTTATCTAGAGAGGCCCTTCTATTCTCAATCTGAAAAGTTGAGTGGCTAAACTTTATTGTAGTCCACTTGGCTGAAGCCAGAGATCCATTATTCATTTTTCTAACAGGTATTTCCCTACCCACTCTTGGCCACAATTCAGTCCTAAAACTTGCCTTCTATTAGTCAGCCTTCCACTAACAGGACAAAATAGACGATTTGTTTATTGCATTAGTGGGGTACATAGACTATAGATTATGTAGAACCCACTCAACACTATCATGGATATAAAATAATATTGCCCATAGCCCTCTCTTTCATTGACTGTGCCCCATGATACCACACTGAACATGCCTTTGCCATGAATTTTACATGAGTCAGTTTTATTTTATTCTATTTATACTATTCAATGTTCATGCTACAAATTTTACAAAAAGTACAAAAGCCTAATCCATTTTCCAATGCCAGGTCAAAGCCAAGTGACAAAAGAATAGACAAAATGCAACAAAAGGAGCCCCTGGACCCCATTAGCAGCCCTACTACTCTTCAGACAATGTACTTAAAGCTGTAAATATTATCACAGGAGAGTCTCTTGTCTTTGCAGCGGCCACAGAGTTCCTGTCGATGAGGCCTCTTTAGGTCAATATGTCTTTTCTTCTGAGGGCAGGAGCAACGGGACTTTGAGCAAGTCTTTAAGGAAAAAGAATATTTCCTTCAGTTTAGGGCAGTGGGGTGGGGGGGTGACAACTAAAATGATTCCAAAACACCATCAGTGGAGTATCTCCCACATCTAATCACCATCTTGTTTTTATTTCCATAAGAAGTTACAGGTCAAATTGAACCAAAACTTGTGTTTATTCAAATCTTATTCTGTGGGAGATGGTATCAAGAGGAAATAGACTTTGATGAGGGGGAAATTTGACCTTAAGTTTTCTAGAGACCTCTAACTAGCTAGTTTTGCTTTTTTTTTTTTTAAACTAATTTTACTAATAATAATAGCTAGGATTTAGATAGTGTTTTAAGGTTTGCAAAGTACTTTACAAATACTATTTAATTTAATCCTCACAACAACCCTGGGGTGTAGGTGCATTATTATCTCCATTTTACAGCTGAGGAAATTGAGGCAGAGATCAATGACTTGCCCATGGTCACCAAGCTGGTAAGTGACACTGAATTTCAACTCAGATCTTCCTGACTCCAGACCTAGTGCTCTATCCACCACACCTAGCTGCTGTGATACCATGATTATACAAACAGGCATAGAACACAGGAACAAGATTTCAGGATTCCTATTTCACTTAATACCAATCAGACCCATAGAAGTATTGGGGCTGTAACTAATTCTGGGCTTCACACATTGAAAAGAAGTGGACAGCTTGGAACTTGGAAAAGATGAGAACACAAACCTATATGTAACAAGATTTAATGAAATTGGGACTTTATCTGAAGATATTAAGACAATCTAGGATGTGAAATACAGTGCCTAGCACATAGTAGGCCCCTGAAAATGTTTTTTGGTTCAGTTCAGTGATTTCCCAACAACTCTGTACTAGATCAACCTGGTACAGAAAAGAAATAGAAGTGCTGTAGAATGAGAGACTTGAGTTGAAAAGTCTCCTGAGAAGTGTTCAAACGTGAGACTGAGTCACCCAAAAAAAAAAAATTCTAATGAAAACTATTTTTAAAAAATTTTTTAAAAACATCTTCTGGAATGGCTTGGACAGATAATTTTACACGTTCGAAAGGACAGATTTAATTCTAGTCCAATGAATTTATGATTACATCTTAGCTTCTCCTGATCATTGTAAACAAAATTCTGCCTTACCTGGCACTGGATCCCTTCCACTCGATAAGGGTTAAAGCTCTTTTGGCACTTGCGACAGAGTTGTTTGAAATAAACCTGAAGAGAGATTTGGCATTTATACAAATTTATATATCCCAATTCCTCCATTCTTAATCCAGGTAAAATTGACCCAATTCTTATCTACAAAGGGCAAAAATGAAGGCAAACTTTAATTCAGGGCATTGACATGCACCTAGATCTCAAGGTCAGGTTTAGACCACTAGTGGTGTGCTCAAGCCTGAGACCAATCACTTTGCCTTCTTCCCTTTTCTTTCCTCCAGGAAAGTAAGCTTTCGGATGTTGTACTGTTACAATGGGGCACTTCATTCTCATTGCTCCATCTGGTGGCCTAAGTGAAAATTTCTTAATTCCCTAAGAAAGTAGTTCAAGCCATAAGAACAAAAAAAGTCCATCTGACCTGACAGAGGATCATGGATCTAGAGCTGAAAGACACCTTAAAGTATTTGAGCCCAACCCCCTCATTCTATAGATGAGGAAACTAAGGCTCAGAGAGATTTAGTGATTTGCCCAAGCCACAAGGAGTAAGCTTCAGAAGCACGATTTGAATCCAGAACTTCTGACTCCAAGAGACCATGCTCTTTCTACTATACTAGAGGGAGAAGAGGCAAAATATCAAGTTAAGCTAACGAAATTCAGCATGAGACTACCCACTGGCACAGATGTGGGGCGTGGGGGTGTGTGTGGGGGGGGGTGTAGCTATATGTCTACACACATATGTGTGCGCATGTATACATGTGTATACATGTGTACATGCATGTGCGTATCTGTATGCATTTATTGTATACACCTATGTGCCTACACATACTTAAACAACTAATGACCAACACTTCATTAGAAGGAAAAACAAGCAGCAAATTTCATAAACTGTAGCCCTATTTGCATTTTGTGTTAAGACTTTTTAAAGTTGGGTTTTATGTTTTTGTAAGGCAGAGAAGCATGGACTGACCTTGGTTACCAGGTGCTAAATTCAAAAAAGGTTAAGAGTCATTATAATGGACATCTACATGATAAAGGATAAATGGCTATTTGTGCAAATACCTCCAATGAGAGGGAAAACTACCAGACCTGAAACCAATTATTCTACTTTTGGACAATTCTGATTGTTGTTTTTCTTGACATCAAGCCTCATTTTGCCACTTTCCAATTTCCATTCATTGCTCTCTGGAGATAAACAGATCAAGTCTGATAATCTCTGTTCCACGTGACAAGCCCAAGAGCAACTCATTTCCCGGAGTCTTCTCTAGGCTGGGGTCCTTGATTCCTTCAATGGGTCACAAAGAACAGACTTGAGGCCCTTCACCATCCTGCTTGTCCTCATCTCTGTGCTCTCCAGCCTATCAAATTCCTTCCTAAACTTCGGTGTTCAAAACTCAACACAGTATTCCAGATGCATTCTGACCAGGGTAGAGTACAGAGGGATATTTTTTGAAGTCTAGGCCAGTGGTTTCATTAGTGTAGGAAATTCCTCTACAGAAATTTCCTCAAGATGAATTCCCTCTGCCAATGTTGGTCAGCAGCTCTTCTGATGATTTTGAGAGTTGCCGAGACACTAAGAAATTTATTGACTTGCCCATGGCCATACAGCCAGAGATGGAACTTGGATTTAGTCTACCTGATTCTGAAGCAGATTCTTTATCTCCTACTTCACATTACCTTTCAGGCAAAGGCATTATCTCACCTCCTTATTCCTGGAGATTTTTCTTGTATGTGCAGCTCAGCATTGCATTGGTTTTTTGTTTTGGGGGGTTTTTTTTGCTGCTACATCACACTGCTGACTAATGTTGAGTTTACAATCCTTTCAAACACAGATCTTTTGGGGACAAATTACAATCTGGTCATGACTCCTTTATCCTGTACTTGTGAAGTTGATTTTTGAAAATCTAACTATAATTCTTTATAACTATTGAATTTTATCTCATTAGTTCAGCCGTTTTCTAGACTGTCCCTGGACCGACCATAGGTTTGATCTTTCCTTAGCATATCAAGTAACACTCAAAGCAGCAACACAAGAAACTACATGACTTGTAGAATATTTCTATGTGGATGGAGCAGGGGTGGGGAGCCTTCAGCCTCGAGGACACATGTGACCTTCTAGGTCCTCAGGTGAAGCCTTTTGACTAAGTCTGAGTTTTACAGAACAAATCCTTTTATTAAGGGGATTTGTTCTGTGAAGTTTGGATTTAGTGTGGCCTCAAGGCCACACCCCTGGAATGGAGAATCAAGATACCAACCTTGTGTACATTTCTCTTTTCTTTAGCCCTTGGGGCCAATAACCCAACAAATATTTTCCCCTTAAGAGCTAGAAGAAAAATGTTTCTTCTAGTTATTCTTGTCACTTACCTTATTACTCCCAGAAATACACCAGACATAAGCACTCTCCCACCTGGTCTTGCAGTCTTTACAGTGAAAGTAGCCATATTTCTGTTCCAAAAACTGCCATGAGGAAAGAAAAAAAAAAATCTTATGACTACCCTCAAGAGATAACTATTTCCTCAATTGTCTTTAAAATAGTGTAAAACTTAAGGGATAAACCAAAAGGAAAAAAGTTCTATCAACCATTTGTTATTAGGCTCCTCTGAGCCTAAACAGTGGGATTCTCTGGGGTTTGGAAAGATGCCCCCGATTCTTTTAAGAACTCTAAATATCAATGGCAAGTCACTTTACCACCTGGGCCTCAGTTTCCTTTTCTGTAACTGAGTGAGGTTGAGCTAAATGATCTCTTATGGTGCCGCCTTAGATCTGGCATTCTATATTTCTATTATCTTTGAATATCAAAGAATTTCAGAGGGGCAGCTAGGTGGGACAGTGGATAGAGCACTGGCCCTGGATTCGGGAGGACCCGAGTTCAAATCTGACCTCAGACACATAACACTTACTAGCTGTGTGACCCTGGGCAAGTCACTTAATCCCATTGCCTAGCAAAAAAAAAAAAAAGAAAAGAAAAGAAAAAGAAAAAAGAATTTCAGAGCCAGAAGGGACCTCAAAGTCCATTTGGTGTAACCCAGAACAGAAAAATCATCCCTTCTACAAAATCCCTTAGCAGTCATTCAGCCTATGCTTGAGGGTCTGCAGGGACTGAGCAGCCAGCCCACCGTTCCAGTTTGGGACAGCTGCAATTGTGAGAAGTCTGTCTTTTTAGACAGAACAAAAATCTGCTTCTCTGCAACTTCCACCTTTCTGGTTTTGTGCCCTGTGGCCAAGAGAAAAGTCTCGTACCTCTGCCGCATGAACATCCTTCATGTATTTAAAACTAGTTCTCATTATCTCTCCCAATACTCTCTGCTCAAGGCGAAATAAACATTCATTTTCTTTGGCCATCCAAGTTCCTCATCATTCTCATTCTAGTGGCCCTTCTTTGGACAGGCTTTACCTTTGTCGCTCCTAAAATGAACCAGCCATAATAGGACACTGAACTCCAGATATAATCTGGCCAGAACAGAGTATAATGGGACTATCACTTCTATTTGTTCTGGACACTGCATTTCTCCTTTAAAGTCATAATCCAGTGCCTTATCAGGCTAGAGCTGTTTGTTATATTTTCTTTTTTTAAATATATTTTTATTTCATTATATATTTCCCAATTACATTTAAAATTTTTTAGCATTCTTTTTTTAAATTTTGAATTCCAAATTCTCTCCCTCTCCCTACTCCTCCCCTACCCCTTGAGAAAACAAGCAATGATAGCTATTATACATGTGAAGTCATGCAAAATATAATTCCACATTAACCATGTTGAAAAAGAAAACACACAAAAACAAGAAAAATAAAGTTTAAAAAAAGTATCCTTCAATCTGCATTCAGAGTTTATTGGTTTTCTTGGAGATGGACAGCATTTTTCAACATGGATCCTCTGGAATTATCTTGGATTATTGTCTTGATCAAAGTAGTCAAGTGTTTCAAAGCTGATCCTTACAATATTGCTGTTACTGTATACAACGTGCTCTTAGTTCTGCTCACTTCACTTTGCATCATTTCATATAAGACTTCCGAGGTTTTTTTGAAGTCCTCCTGTTCATCATTTCTTATAGCATAATTGTATTCCATCACTGATGGTTAATTTTCAATGTGAGGATTTACACTTCAGAAATTAGCAAATGCTGGTCATTTGTAAACTCAGTAACATCACTAGACTAGAAGGAGGAACTCCTGAACCACATAACTATCAACTGTAAACACTCTGGGGGTCCAGATATTCAAACCATGCAGTAAGACACTCTGGGTCATCCCTAATACTAACTGGGTTTAAGGCTTAGCTGGACTGGTTGTCCCTTGTGCTATAGTTGCCATATTTAAAAGCCTAGGATATGGAAAGACTTATATGAAACTGATGCTGAGTGAAGTGAACTAGAACCAGGAGACCATTGTACACAGTAACAGCAACACTGTGCAATGATAGATTTAGTTCTCCTCAGCAAGCAATGATCTAAGACAATTCCAAAAGACTCATGATGTAGAATGCTATCAACATCCAGAGAAAGAATTATGGAGTCTGATAGCAGATGGAAACATACTATTTTCTCTTTTTTTTGTGTTTTTTCTTTCTTGTGGTTTTTCCCTTTTGTTCCAATTCTTCTTTTACAACATGACTAATGTAAAAATATGTTTGATGTGATTGTGCATGTATAACCTATGTCGGATTGCCTGCTGTCTTGGGCAGGGGAGAGGGGCAGGAGGGAGGACGAAAAAAATTTGGAACTCAAGATCTTATAAAAAAAATGAATGTTGAAAACTATCTTTACATGTAATTGAAAAAAACAAAATACTATTAAGTGGAGGGGAAAATGAAAAAAAAAAAGGAAATACACAATGAGCAAGCAGATTCCAGAAAAACCTGGAAAGACCTGGAAAGACTCACATGAACTGACACCGAATGAAGTGAATAGAACCAGGAGAAGATTGTACACAGGAACAGCAACCTTGGGCTATGATCAACTATACTAGACTTAGCTCTTCTCAGCAATACAATGATCCAAGGCAATTCCAAAAGACTCATGATGTAAAATGCTATCAATATCCAGAGAAAGAATTATGGAGTCTCAATGCAGATTGAAGCATACTATTTTCACTTTTGGGGTTTGGTTTTTTTTTGGTAGCTTTTCCCTTTTGTTCTGTTTCTTCTTCACATGATTGATGTGTAAATATGTTTACGTAATTGCACACGTATAACCTATATCAGATTGCTTGCTGTCTTGGGGAGGGGAGGAAAGGGAGGGAGAAAAAGATTGAAACTCAAAATCTTATTTTAAAAATGAATGTTGAAAACTATCTTTACATGTAATTGGAAAAAATAAAATACCATTTACCAAGAGAAAAAAAGCCTAGGATAGTCACACTACTACTTTTACAATGTGGACATAAGACTCAAGATGCATAGAAAAAAGGAAGCCTAAGAGATTCCCCCTAAAATTTAACAATTTATCTAGCAAAAACAAGTCTTTCCGGCACAGCCACCCAGGGCTTTTCCAGAGGAATGGGCTCAGCCCATTACTGTCACACAGCTAGTGGGTGCTGGAACCAGGCAAGATGCAAACTCAAGTTTTATCCCTAGGCTCCAAACTAGAGCTTTCCTTACTATATTAGGGGCCTCTTCACGTAAGAATTTAAAGCCAAAGGCTAACCTGAACTTGAAACTAGTCTTATAGAATCATAGTGGAATAGATTTAGAAATTAAAGGGACCTTAGAGGTCACATAGCTCCCTCTCCCTCTCTAGGAAACTGAGACCCAGAGAGTTGAAGTGATTTGCTATCACCCTGATGGGAGAAAAGCTGGTTTCTATTAGTGAATTCAGACTAAATTATATAAAAATGCTTATTATCTTCTCTTTTCTTCCCTCAAAAAAAAAAGAAAGAAATGAAAGAAAGATTAAGTTTGCTCACAGTTTTTCATACACCATTGGAAATTGCACAGAGATGAAGCTGGTGGAATCAGTGGCAAAGAACAATGGGGTGGGGGACTAGCAAAGGTGGGGCTCACCTGGAAAGTGGGCTTCTTGGGAAGAGCGCTTCCTTCCTTCTGAAGCTCTGCCTCCCCATCTTGGGTCTCCTGCTCCCGGGCAGCAGTCAATTCATCCGCCTCCTCCTGGGACTTCTCTTCCAGCTGCGATGGCTGTTCCTCTGCCTCCCTGGTCCCTTCTGGATCTGACAAAAAGGGCTGCTGAGGTCTGGACTCCACCACCTCTGAGGAGGCTTTCCCTTTCCCCTGGCCTTCTTGTTTGCTAAGGCGGATCAGGAGCCCCCGACCGAGCACTGGAGAATAAAAGCCTCGTGTGGAGAGGCCAGAGGGGCTGCTGCCTTCCCGGGGGGAGCTGCTGTACAAGGTCCTCGGCCCTAGCGAGCATTGGATGAACTTATCCTCCCGCGGGCTCACCTGCACTCCTACGTCTTTGGTGTTTGCTTTGCACAGCCTCAGGCTCATGTTGGGGTTCACCTGAGACAGGATGGCCTTGAGCTGCGCCCTCTTGTAACTGTCCAAGTAGTCGCCAGGGTTGGCCGGCCCCTGCCCAGGGCCCACCAAGAAAGCAGAGGGCCCAGGATGCTTCTGTTTGGGAAGGCCAGTCCTGCCCACAGCCAGTGGGTTTCCATACCCCTGATACAAGCTATAGGGGAAACAAACAAATCTCTCCATGACCCCACTCCTTCCCTGGGCAGCTCATCCGAAGCCTAGGGCTATTTTTCTTTGTTTTCAGTGCTTCCACACTTCCTATCACATCCAAACCTTCCTTCTCCTAATCAAGTCTACTCAATTTACCACCAGCTTCTCCATTTATCTCAAGATTGTGGCAGGAGCTGCTGCCTATTACTCCTGATTGAAATAGGAAACTAAGAAATGCCCAGTGTACTAATTGCCACCTGGTTCTCCACCACTCAACACTGCTCTCCTGTCCCCTTCCAGACTAGCCCAGATTTTACTTCCATCACCATTTTGTTCCACCCCATTCCCTTAAATTACCCATTTCAGTGCCTTCCTTCAGATCCAACCATTGCTATCTCTCTTATCTTACCCCATTTGACCTATGGATCAGGATAATTGTGTCACAGTGTAACTTGCCTTTATATTTTAGTCATTCTAGTACTCACCTTTTCGTTAGCATAGACAAATTTGTTTTCATGAGCCGTGAAGACATAGTTGTATCTGTATTGAGACTTGATGCATAATCCCTGCTATGTATGCAAGTGTACATAGTACAAGTACATACACCTACTTGATAACAACTAGTTGTCTAATTCATCAAGTATCGACTAAGTATCCTCCATTGCTTAGCAGCTCCTTTGGGGGGGGTAGATATAATAAAATTATATGAGGCAGTTCCTATCTTCAAAAGATAGGCAACTAGGTAGCAGTGGCTAGGGCACTAGGCTTGAAGTCAAATATCTGACATTTACTAGCTGTGTGACCCTGGGGCAAATCACTTAACTTCTCTCAGTCTCTGTTTCCTAATCTGTAAAATGGGGATAATAAAAAAAACCCCATCTCCCAGAGTTGTATCAAATGAGATAATATACAAAGTGCTCTGCACACCTTAAAACACTCAAGTCACTTAACCCCAACTGGCTCACCAAAAAGCAAAAAACAAAAAAAAACACAAAAAAACACTGTATAGATATTAGCTATTGTTATAATTAAGTTAGAAAGATTCATACATGTGAAATAACTCACACTACTTCAGTACTTCAAAGATCCATTATCTCATTGACATGGACACTACCTCAGGCCAGTCAACAAACATTTATTAAGCACCAACCACATGCCAAGTGTTGTGCTAAGCATCACAGATATGAAGAAAAGCCAAAAAACTAAAGCAAAAACTACAGTTCTTGCTTTCAAAGGTTTCAGCCTAATGAAGGATACAACATATGAAGAATTATATACAAAATATATACAGGATAAATTGGGGATAATCTGGGAAGAAAGGCATTAAGAGTAAGGAGGTCTACAAAAGGCTTCTTGCAGAAGATGGAACTCTAGTTGAGACTTGGAGAAAGCCAGGGAAGCCAGCAGGCAGAAGGAGGGAGAATGTTCCAGGCATGGGGACAGCCAATGTCTATCATATTAAATAGCAATCCCTCAAAGACTTGGCAAATGGTTTTTGACAGTTGTTGTGGCAAAAAAGTTCGTCATTCTGTGACCAATCTGGTGATGAGTTTTCCCAAATTCAGCTAGACTGATCCTCAAGAAATGGCCATACCATTTGCTGCCCGCCTAGTACTTGACTTTCAAATTTGTTAGGATCTGCCAGAACTGGACTCCATTGGCCTAGGCTTCTAGGCCACAGGTTCTTCAAGAACTCCATGCCAGAGCCAAGATTGCTGAGGGAAAGCAGTGAATTGCTTGAGCTCTCCCCCCAAACCCTTCCAAATACCTATAAAAATGGCTGGAAACAAATTGTAAAGCAGCCAAAGCCACAAAAAGAAGGTGAAACAAATTTCCAGCCAAAGACAGCCTGGATCAGAAAGGTATATTGCACCGGGTAGGCAGAGGAGCACAGTTCGGCATGGGCGTGCAGGCCGCAGCTATCCTGGAGCAGGCCTCAGAGGACTGAATCACCGGCAGCTGTGGCGGTTTCCAAACTCCTCAATCCAGGAACACCAAAGACAGCTTAGAAGTGAGAGAGGAGCTAGGTCTCAGCCGCAAGTCTCCAGTGCGGCCCGGGGCCACGGCTGTTTCCTGAGTTTCCAGCCCACAGACTGAGGGGGAATCAAGTGGCTGATCACAGGGGGATTGCAGGGATCTCTTTGCCAGTGCTAAGGCAGGAATCTCTTGCTTTGCCCATGCTTGGATCTGGGTCACAGTTCTGAGGGGCGGTCCTGGCGCAAGGTGGAATGCTGGTGTGGTGAAGCTTCTTGTGGCAGTGGAGAGGAAACACCTCGCCCCTTATCGTAGCACCTTGGAAGAACTGAAAATTTTCAGATCCCTAGAAGTATCTCTGAAAACAGCTGTACAAACCCCCAAAGCTTGGGACAGTACATTCTCCACATTGGAAGCAGACTTTTACCTTAACAAAGAATTTAAAATTCAAGTAATTGGCTGGGATCATAAGTAAGCAGCACAAAAAGAGTCAGACTATATTATCTCACTTTGGTGACAAACAAGATCAAAACATACAACCAGAAGAAGACAACAAAGCCAAAGCTCCTACATCCAAAGCCTCCAAGAAAAATATGAATCAGTCCCAGGCCTTGGAAGAGCTCAAAAGGGATTTTGAGAAGCAAATAAGAAAAGTAGAGGAAAAACTGAGAGTGATGCAAGAAAATCATGAAAAACAAGTCAACAGCTTGCTAAAGAAGACCCAAAAAAATACTGAAGAAAATAACACTTAAAAAATAGCCTAACCCAAATGGCAAAATAAGTCCAAAAAGCCAATGAGAAGAAGAATGCCCTAAAAAGCAAAATTGGACAAATGGAAAAGGAAATCCAAAAGCTTACTGAAGAAAATACTTCCTTAAAAGTTAGAATAGAGGGCAGCTAGGTGGCGCAGTGGATAGAGCACAGGCCCTGGATTCAGGAGGACCTGAGTTCAAATCCAGACTCAGACACATAATACTAGCTGTGTGACCTTGGGCAAGTCACTTAACCCCATTGCCTAGCCTTAAAAAAAAATAGACATCTAATTCAATCTAACAACTAGTCTAGTATGTATATATTTAGGGGCAGCTAGGTGGCGCAGTGGATAGAGCACCAGCCCTGAAGTCAGGAGTACCTGAGTTCAAATCCGGTCTCAGACCAAACACTTGACACTTACTAGCTGTGTGACCCTGGGCAAGTCACTTAACCCCAACTGCCTAAAAAAAAAAATTAGAATAGAGCAATTTGTAGCTAGTGACTTTATGAGAAATCAAGACACTATAAAAACAAATCCAAAAGAATGAAAAATTAGAAAACAATGTGAAATATCTCATTGGAAAAACAACTGACCTGGAAATTAGACCCAGGAGAGAGATTTTAAAAATTATTGGACCATCTGAAAGCCATGATCAAAAAAAGAATCTAGACATCATCTTCCAAGAAATTATCAAGGAAAACTGTCCTGATATTTTAGAACCAGAGGGCAAAATAGAAATTGAAAGAATCCATTGATCTCCTCCTGAAAGAGATCCCCAAAGGAAAACTCCTAGGAATATTGTAGCCAAATTCCAGAGTTCCCAGGCCAAGGAGAAAATATTACAAGCAGCCAGAAAGAAACAATTCAACTATTGTGGAAACACAATCAGAATAACACAAGATTTAGCAGCTTTAGGGACCACAGGGCATGGAATATAATATTTTGGAGGGCAAAGGAATTAGGATTACAACCAAGAATCAATTACCCAGCAAAACTTAGTATAATCCTGCAGGGGGGGAAATGGTCATTCAGTGAAATAGAGGACTTTCAAGCATTCTTGATGAAAAGACCAGAACTGAATAGAAAATTTGACTTTCAAATACAAGACTTAAGTGAAACATGAAGAGGTAAACAGGAAAGAGAAAATCATAAGAGACTTATTAAGGTTGAACTGTTTACATTCCTGCACGGAAAGATGATATTTGTAACTCATGAGACCTTTGTCAGTATTAGGGTAGTTGGAGGGGAAAAAATTATATGTACATATATATAGATATAGACAGATACATAGACAGAGGGCACAGGGTGAGTTGAAAATGAAGGGGTCATATCTGGAGAATAAAATTAAGGGGTAAGAGAGAATTATACTAGGAGAAGGAGAAAGAGAGAGGTAGAATGGGGTAAATTATCCCACAAAAAAAAAAAACACAGAAAAGAAAAGGCTCTTACAGTGGAGGAGAAACTGGGGAAGGTGAGAAGGAATGAGTGAATCTTATTCTCACAGGATTTGACTTAAGGAGGGAATAACATACACACTCAATTGGGTATGGAAATCTGTCTTGCCCTACAGGAAAATGGGGGGGGAAGGGGACAAGAGAGTAGGGGGATGATAGAGAGGAGGGCAGATTGGGAAAGGGCGTAATCAGAAGCAAATACTTCTGAGGAGGGACAGGGTCAAAAGAAAGAATAGAATAAATGGGGGGGTGGGAAAGGATTAAGGGAAATAGAGTTAGTTTTTCACAGCATGTCTACTATGAAAGTGTTTTGCGTAACTGCACATATAACCTATATTTAGTTGCTTGCCTTATCAATAAGGGTGGGTGGGGAGGGAGGAAGGGAGAAAATTTGGAACTCAAAGTTTTAAAAACACATGTTTAAAACAAATGTTTTCACATGCAACTGGGAAATAAGAAATACAGGAAATGGGGTACAGAAATCCATCCTGCCCTATAGGAAAATAGAAGGGGAAGGGGATAAGAGAAGGGGGGGAGAGATAGAAGGGAAAGCAGACTAGGGGAAGGGATATTCAGAATGCATGCCATCTTGGGGTGGGGGGAGGGTGAGATGTGGTGAAAATTTGGAACTCAAAATCTTGTGGAAGTAAATGTTGAAAACAAAAAAATAAATAAAAATTACCATAAAAATAAATAAGCAAAAAAAAATTTTAAAAGATAAAAAATTAATAAACAAAAAATAAATAAATAAAATAAAATAAATAAATAAATAAAAAGAGCTCCATGCCAGTGCCAGGACAAAGTAGAACTCTGATTACAAGATAGTAAATGATCAAGTGCTTATTGTAGGTAAGGGTAAAGAC